AAAGAGGGGGGAGCAGAAGGAATCACTGCTAACATAACACGGTTGTTTTGGTGATAAAATTAGTCGACTATGTTGATGTTGTTGTGCGCACTCAAGTGGTTTCCGACTTATGGCAACCCTAAGGTGACCCTATCATGGGGTTTTCTTAGCAAGGTTTGTACAGAGGGGTTTGCCATTGCCATCCTCTGAGGCTGAGAGAGCGTGACTTGCCCAAGGTCACCCAGTGGGCTTCCATGGCTGAACGGGGATTCGAATCCTGGTCTCCAGAGTCATAGTCCAATGCTCACACCACTACACCACACAGGAAAATATATAGTCCCCCCCTAAGAACACAGACAAGAATGGCAAATATTTTAAGATACTGTAAAGACAACTGGAGTTGTGAGAAATGACATAATAATTGGTTAGGAAAACAAATATCTGAACAAAAAAAAAAAAACACACTATGAATTCAAAGGCTTTCATGGCCGGCATCCATAGGTTTTTGCGGGTTTTTCGGGCTGTGAGGCCATGTTCTAGAAGAATATATTTCTGACATTTTGCTTGCATCTGTGGCTGGCATCTTCAGCTAATTCTTTTCTGGATTTTAATTTAATAAAAGTATTAAAGTAGAGAAAAGATAAGGCAGAACTGAGATATAAGAGTAAGATGACTGTTATTGAATAGTGTAAAGGGATTCTTTGTTTCCTTTAGAAATTAAAAGAAGGCTGTAAATAAATAAATAAAAATAAATAAATGGCAGATACTATGTTAAAATAGAAGGGACTTAATGTCAGGGGAACAAGGGAAGTATGAAAGAAAATATTATCCTTTTTTTGGCTATTTCCTGAACATTAAGGATGCAAAGACTTAATGAACATGAATTTTTAGACTGGTATAAATATTCTAAAATTGCTTTCAAGGAGCTTGTGTTTTGTATATTAATAATATATATTTAAAATAAATATATTTTTAAAATGAATATAATAATAATAATAATAATAATAATAATAATAGAAAATATACATTTTTCTATACTTTCTCCATGTTAATGATGCATTATAGGCTCACCGATGAAACACTGCAAATACTGTAGAAAATATTTTGTTTTACCTCTGTGTGGATTTTTACTGAAATACAGGAGTGTTGGGAAAAAACTTTGGAGACCAGGGTTCGAATCCTGGCTCGGCCATGGGTGACCTTGGGCAAAAGTCACACTCTCTCAGCCTCGGGGAAGGCAATGGCAAACCCTCTCTGAACAAATATTACCAAGAAAACCCTATAGGTCGGAAACAACCGCACCACAGGCCCCTGGAAAGCAGTTGGCTCACCTTTCCTGCCCCTCACAAGGGAAAAACACCCCCATTTTATCCTCAAACAACCCACCGAAGCTCCGACGCTCATCTCCAATCGGCAACTCTTTTCCTCGGGCAACGCGGCGACCCGGCCTTTCCGAGTGCGCATGCGCGGGACTGCGACTCAAAACCGTCTGCCATCTTTGAACAGGGCGCACAGCCTCCTCTTTGCCGTCTTCCTCGCGAGACGGTGGATCCGCCATTTTTGTTACGGGCACGCCCTCTGGATTATGGCCGCTCTGCCCTTTTGACACGCCCACTCTAATTGTCATGGCTCCTTACGGTGGCATCCTGGGATATGTAGTCTTGGTTTGGCATTCAGCCTCGGGGCTGTTAGATAGCTCTGGTGCCTCGCCAAAATTGTTGTTCTTGTGTGCCTTCAAGTCGTCTCCCACTTATGGTGACCCTAAGGTGAACCTATCATGAGGTTTTCTTGGCAAGTTTGTTCAGAAAGGGTTTGCCATTGGCATCCACTGAGGCTGAGAGAGTGTGACTTGCCCAAGGTCACCCATGGGTTTCCATGGCTGAACTGGGAATCAAACCCTCGTCTCCAGAGTCATAGTCCAACCCTCAAACCATCACCCCATACTAACTCATATTAAAGATGTCTTTAATAATAATAATAATAATAATAATATAGTATCTATATCCTGCTTCTTCTTCTTCTTCTTCTTAATATTATTATTATCATCATCATTATTATTAATATTAATTGTATTTATATCCTGCTTTTGCTATTATTATTATTATTATTATTATTAAGTGTATTTATACTTTGCTCTTTAATAATAATAATAATAATAATAATACCTGCTCTTTAATTATTATTAATAATAATAATAATTGTATTTATACCCTGCTCTTTAATTATTATTATCAATTGTATTTATATCCTGCTCTTTGTTATTATTATTATTACTTGTATTTATACTTTGCTCTTTAATAATAATAATAATAGTAGTAGTAGTATTTATACCCTGCTCTATTCTTCTTCTTATTATTATTAATTGTATTTATACCCTACTTATAATTATTATTATTATAATTATTATATTTACACCCTGCTCTATTCTTCTTCCTCTTCTTCTTCTTCTTCTTATTAATTGTATTTATACCCTGCTCTTTAATTATTATTATCAATTGTATTTATACCCTGCTCTATTTTTACCCTGCTATTATTATTATAATTATTAATTGTATTTACACCCTGCTCTATTCTTCTTCTTCCTCTTCCTTTTTTTCTTTTTCTTATTAATTGTATTTATACCCTGCTCTTTAATTATTATTTTTATTATCAATTGTATTTATACCCAGCTTTATTTTTACCCTGTTATTATTATTATTATTATTATTATTATTATTAATTGTATTTATAGCCTGCTCTCAGAGCGGCTTACAAATGGCTAATTACTGATTCTACAGACTAACACGGCTACATCTTTGAATTCTGCTACATATTAAAATAAAACAACGGGGTATAAATCAGCGCAAATAAATGCATTTTAAAAATAGCTTAGTGAAATATGTTTATAATTCATGACAAAACAGACATCCCTTCTTGAATTTTGGTGTCCCAAATTGGACACAGTATTCCAGGTGACAGTGCATTTTCTGTCCTCCCATTTTTTTCCCAGGTGTTTTTGCAATGTCCTAGCAGTGCTAGGGAATCCTGGGAATTGTAGTTTATTGTGGCACCAGAGATCTGTGACAGAGAAGGATAAATGACTCACAAGACTTCCCAGAATCCCCTAGCATTGAGCCAGGGCAGTTAAAGCGGTCTCAAACTGGATTATTTCTGCAGTGTGTTTCGGACCATTCATAGGGAGCCCATGCGATCAATGGCAGATAACAAAAATAAAAATCCGTAAGCATGGGAAGAAAAAGCAATTTATTTAACCACTAGGTGACACTAAGGGGTTATTCAGACAGTATGAAAATAATAATAATAATAATAATAATAATAATAATAATAATAATAATAAATAATCCAGGTAGAATCTGGGTTGAATCTGCCCTGTTCACATGCATTAAGAGGTTTTGGGGATCTGCCAAACGCCCACTTAACTTAACCCAGGATAATTGATTTTGGGTATTTTTCCAAATTTTTCTAAAAGATTTGCATCGTCGGCAGTGTTAATAACTGATGCAAATATAAAACTTTGCATGCCTTGAGCGTGTTTCGAATACATCCACATTGTGGATTCAATCTTTATTTGAGCATTTGCACGTGTGAACAACCAAACTTGCAGAGATATAGAATCACAGGGTTGGAAGGGACCTCAAGGGCCATCCAGTCCACCCCAATCTTCCATGCAGGAATACACCATCGAAGCACGCTCTGTGAGAAATGGCCACCCAGCCTCTGTTTAAAGATCTCCAAAGAAGGAGACTCCACAAAGCAACATATTATTCCATTGCAGAACAGTTTATACTCTCAGGAAGTTCTTCCTAACATTTAGATGGAACCTCTTTTCCTATAACTCCCATCCATTGCTCCATGTCCTGATCTCTGGAGCAGCAGAAAACAAGCTTGCTCCATCCTCAACATGACACCTCTTCAAATATTTAAGCAAGGCTATCATATCACTTCTTAACTTTTTCTTCTCCAGGCTAAACATACCCTAAGTTCTCTCCTCATAAGGCATGGTTTCCAGACCTTTCAGCATTTTCGTCGCTCTCCTCTGGACACGCTCCAGCTTCTCAACATCCAAGCTGGCCAGAGTCAAAGGGAGAAGGGCTATCAATGGATGAACACTGGCCTCCCTATGCAGCAGGGAGAACTGGGTTATTTCTGCAGTATGTTTTGGACCTAAAGTGGTGTCAAACTGGATCATTTCTGCAGTGTGTTTAGGACCTAAAGCCATGTCAAACTGGATTATTGCTTCAGTGTGTTTTGGACCTAAAGCGGCGTCAAACTAGATCTTATCTTCAGCGTGTTTTGGATCTAAAGAGGCGTCAATAATAATAGCAATGCAATTGGGGCAGCATACAGCAAATTAAAAACATCACAAAAGGTTAAAATCAATCCAATACCATATTCCCACACAAGATCAAACAGGATCTTTTCTGAAATGTGGATGCAGCCTTTTTCTCTTTCATTTT